GGATCATTTCACTCACCATTGAAAGTTACATTTTCTCTGTTTCTAACAGTCAGTATCCTATGAAACATCAACACACAATTTGGTGCTGATGATTGGATGCTTATTTGACAATCCCATTCAACTGCTGGTACTTTAAGATTTATCAGTCTTCTGAAATGCAGAAGTACTTCAGGAGGCAATGCACCATCTGACTTCATCATATCTCTGTTGCTCTTGCAGGTTACAAAAAATTCACTGTTTCCTCCCTCTGCATCATAATCTTCTACAGGTTCCTCTGTCATGTTTAGCTTCTTTTTATCTTGACAAGATGGTAAATTTAGAAATCATTCAAAACCCAAAGAAGAGCCAAAACTCCGTAACATTGTCATGCTGTGAGGCAAATGTGGTTAAAACTATCCAGGATGACACTGTTAATGTCACATAAAGCATACATTTGGAACAGAAGTATTTCAGTGACTTTGGAAACTTCAGTTTTTCTGTATTGAGTGTTTTCAGACCTTTGAGAAGATATTTCCATGTCTGCAAATACGGTCATATTAAAAAAAAAAAAAAAGAAAAATCAATACCACTTTTCCCCCCCAACAAAAGCCCCAACCCCCCCCCCCCCCCAAAAACCCAACAAATAAAAAACTCCTACAACACAGAAGTCTTAGCAAAAAAGTGCCGTAGGTTTAGTTTTGCCAGGGAAGCTATAAAATAGCAGTTGGATATATTCAAAGTCCAGCTAATTAAGAAATTCCTTCAAATTTCAGATGGACTATAAAAGTTTTGTAGAAGTGGTGAAGCCCAAAATTATGTGAAAAATCATGTTGGATTTTTTTGTGCCACTACTTTATTTAGTTCTATTTGATGCATCTTTTTCCTAGTTATTGATTTTCTTCCTTTTCAGATGTGTATATGGTGGTGTACAGGGAAGAAGAATTTACAGAAGTATCTAAATGCTTAGAGCTGCTTTCTATTACACTGAAAAATAGTATTTTGTTACTTGGGAATGAATATGCAGAGCATGAAGAAATTAAAACCATTCATAAACCTTCCCCATATTCTGTAGTGCTTTCCATAAAACCTAGCTTTCCTAAAACTTAATTCTTTGCACAGAATGATTACTTACATAGCACTGCAGTATCTGAATAAATATTGTCTAATTCTTACTTCATTTTTTTGCTTACTTCAAGTGGTCTTTTATAAAAGTGCAAAGGACTGCAATCTATCCCATACCTCATTTTCTCAACAGGCAGTGTTTTTACATTGCTGTGTTGCTAGAATAAGTATTAGAAGTGGAAAAAAGTAGAAATACATGCTTAAACATTTGCCAAAAAGATTAGATGTTCTGAACTCCTGCCAGGGAACAGGGCAAAAAGTGAAAAAATTCCCAGTAAATCATCTATCAGGTACTACCCATCTATTCAAAAAGCATCCAAAAGAGCAAAATAGTCCTTCATTTCGTGAGGCTCTGTCCTGGATTCAGCAGTAGCAGTCATTTTTTTCCTTCTTAGCTGGTGCAGTGCTGCGTTTTTGACTTTCAGCCTAGGAACAGTGCTGATAACACCAATGTTTTTAGTTGTTGCTAAGTCATGTTTATTCTGACCAGGGACTTTGTCAGCCTCAGGCTCTGCCAGGGAGGAGGGGAAGCTGGGAGGAAGCAGAGACAGGACACCTGACCCAAACTAGCCAAAGAGATATTCCATACCACAGCATATCATGCCCACTATATAAACTGGGGGCAGTTACCCAGAAGGGTTAGTTCACTGCTCCGGTCAGGCTGGGTATTGGTTCGCAGGTGTTGAGGGGTTGTATTCTCTCCCCTTGCTGTTTCTCTTATCATTATTATTATTGGTGGCAGCAGTAGTGGTTTGTGTTATACCTTAGTTACTGGACTGTTCTTATCTCAACCCGTGGGAGTTACATTCTTTTGATTCTCCTACCCATCTCTCCAGGAGCGAGGTGGAGGACTGGGAGGGAGTGAGCGAGCGGCTGCATCGTTTTGAGTTGGCTGGGCTTAAACCTTGACAGGCTCATACAGTTCAGGAGTCCCTAAATTAGATGATTTTCATGTAGTTGTATGCAAATACTTGATTTCTCTGTAATGCCTGGAAATAATTTCTTAAATCTCTCAGGCTTCCGTGAGATACCACTAGTGTCTAAAACATCATCTGTCAGAAAGCAATGACCTTTCCATGAAGAAAATAAATGCTTCTTAAGTCTTTTTAAATGCTGATAAACATATGTGACAGCAGCAACAAGGCCAAGATTTATCACACAAAACCTCCCCAGTATATATGCACCATCAGGTAACTTCACATTCTCTGATGAATAAACAATTGCAATCATAATTGTTTGTACATGCCTGCAAATGTCAACAAAATCAAACATCTGTCATGCCAGATAAGAAAATGTGACTCAGTTAATATACTTAGCACTCTATTCAGCCTTGGAAAGGTCACTTATATTTTAACAAGAGGCGCGTAGTTTACTGGTTTCCAGTCAATGACCATGTAGTGAAAATAAAACTGTGGCCATATTTGGTTACCCTTCAAACAATATATTTGATTAAGATGACACATATGTAGCACAATCTGTTTAATGTTGCTTTTGGATATACTTTAACCCTTTCAATTATGACTGATTTTGACATAAAATCATTTTTGCCAAGGTAAAAATGCTCATAACACCTGTCCCATCCCACCAAAAGAAGCAGAACAACACAGATCACCTTGAAAGCCACTGGTATAAGACAACAAAAAAATCTACAAAGGCATCATTTGCTCTTCCACCATCTTCAGAGGCAATAATCAGAATCCGTATGCAGTTCAGTTGTGGATTGAAGCCATCAGCAACACATAGGTATTGCTCATCTGCCAAGACCACAAGGACTAAACACCCTTTTCATTATATTTTGTCTTCCTGAATCAGGCTCCTTAATCCAGCCCTGAATCCTGTCAGAAATGACTCATGGCAAGTGCTGCTTGTTATCTCCACTGACGTACACTGAAGGCTGGTTAGGACAACTCAGGAATGCCTCATTTTGCACAGAGCTATTTAGCTGAAAACTAATATTTTGAATCTGTCTCAATATCCTTCATTATTCTTCTGTTGGCTTGCACCAAAAATAGAAGCTAATTTCAATGAGAGAGAGACATTCAGGGATGAGCACAGACACAGTATGGAAGAGAGGATTGTGCCTGCTTCACCAGATGGTGCTAAGGCATGGATACAACCCCTTGGTTATTCAATTTTTTCCTTCCTGGCTATTGTAACCTAGCACAAGAATGTAGTGCATTGGTTCTCATTTGACCATGAAACCCTGACAAAGTGTTAATATTCCTCTTATTGATAGGTTTGTTCTGTTCCTCCTTAAAATAAGAAAACTAATCCTGAAAGCTGCTATTATATGGGAGATCAAAATAATTACCATATTTCACAGAGTGATTGTCAGGTTAGAGTTAACACAGATGCACAAATCAGGTCCCTGGGCAGCTGGTGGAAGCTGGCCCAAATCTCTCTCCTCTGTTCTCCTCCCAAGTATTTGATTCCTGAGCCAATCCTGTGAGCTGGCTCTAGGAATTAATTTATAATATATGGGGGTGATTTGGGATGAGAAAACAGTATTCTCAGAAGATATGGGCTTTGAGTAAAGGTAAACTTGATGTGCTCTAGATGTCTAAATTATGGAAGACCTTTTACAAAGTTGAGAAACGATATGGGCTGTTCTTCCTTTCCATTCATTTCTGGCACACAAGAGAGCCCCAAGGCCCAGTGAGGATTATCCTACTTACAGAATGTTTTTGTTCATCCCAGAAGGATTACAGAACACTTCATGAAATGTCAGCTTGTTTCACACCTGCCAGTAATGGGAAATACGGATTACAGCCCTCTGTGCCAAGGTTTATCACTGCTTCCTTGAGAGAGGACAAGCTGGTCTGTGAATCCAGTTCATTCCCAAAGGACTCCCTTAGGAAAATGAGGTTGAATTTCAGATAATCTAACAGCCAGGCATTGCACTGAGTTGTTACTAGTCTCTCTCATTCTCTACTCTGCCTGTTTTAGAGTTTGGCTTGGCCTGACCTTTTCTACAGCAAATACTTGGTATATATGGACATGCAAGCAGAAGTTAACTTTCAAGGCAAAACATGGCATCACTGTGAGGTGGTTGCCCACAGTGTTTAGGATTTCCTGATTAGCTCATATGCATGTGTCATGGTTTAACCCCAGCCAGCAACTAAGCACTACACAGCCACTTACTCCCCACCATGACAGAATGGGGCAGAGGATCATGAGAAGGAGAAAACTCATGGGTTAAGATAAAGACAACTTAATAGGTAAAGAAAAAGCCATACACACAACCAGAGCAAAACAAAGAATCCATTCACCACTTCCCATGGTCAGGCAGTTCAGCCATCTCCAGCACAGCAGGGCTCCATCACACATAATTGTGACTTTGGAAGACCACCACCATCACTCCAAACATCCTCCCTCTGCCTCCTTCTTCCCCAGCTCTATATGCTGAGCATGATGTCCTACGGTCTGGGATATCCAGGGTCAGTTGGGGTCATCTCTCTTGATTATGGCTCTGTATGAGCACTGATCAGCAATAATGAAAACATCCCTGTGTTTCCACACAGCACTGTTTCCAGTTCAAATCCAGAATGTAGCTCATGCTAGCTGCTATAAAGAATATTAACTCTACTCCAACCAAAACCAGCATATTCTCCATCCCTTATTTCATAATATTTATATCATTCTCAGGTCCCACACTATCCAATACATTGTCACTAACCACCATTCCTAATCTTTGATACAATACACAGATATTATTCCCTTAGTCTATGAACCAACCCTGTGAAGTAACTGTAAAATGTCTAAACGTCCACAAAATGTCCATTGAGTTCATTTAGTCCATGACTTTGAGTCCATCGGGTCTCTTAGGACAGAAGCAGTGCTGCGTTGCTTGTTGTTACTGGGCATCAAAGCCGGCTCAGAGCACTCCTGCTCTTTCACTGCTACTTGTAAGGCTTGTTTTCCATTGGTTCAGGAGGTTCCTGCTGTAGTAATACCTATAACACACAATTCAAATCGTGAATTACAACAATTGAAAGGTATATCCATTGCAGTCTCTAGCCCTGCTCCCTTTGAGTCAGGTTATGAGGTTTAACATTGCAATGAACTTGTTCCCTGGAACTGGCATTGACTTATTTACAGACTGCAGTCTTTTAGGGGTGTTCCTGCTCCAAGCGGAGACTTGTCTACTAGCCACAGGGGTATACCTGATGTGGCATAGACTTATCCACAGCCACAGTCACTCTGGGGTTCACCTGCTCACAATGTTGCCTTCTCCATGAGCCACAATGCCTTTAAGGGTAAACCTGTTTCAATCAGGCATTACCCACAGCCACAGTCTCTTCAGAAACAAACCTGCTCTGACATGGCCTTAACCATGGCTGCAGTCCCTCCAGGGATTTACCTTCTCTGGCATGGGCTTATACATGGCCATAGATGCTTCAGGATGTCCTGCTCCCACATGGACTCATCCACAGGTCATAGTCCCTTCAATTCAAATTCACAGTGGAGTTCCAGCCTGTCCAATAAAGCTTTACAGAAACAGCCTTGTCATCTGCCAGCCCAGGCACTTTGCCATAGCTGTAATTAAAATGTTCCTGGGCACAGCAGAGTAAGATGATAAGCAAGACAGTGAGCAGCAAAAGCAAAAAGCAGCTTCTAACAACAATTAACCTCTAATATAAAGTGAGGCAAGCAAGTCCCATGGAGAGCACAGAAGCCTGTCACATTTGTCGTATTTAACATTTTCATACAGACCCATCCTACAGTATTTTTCCCAACACAATTGCAGAGATAGATGGCAGCATGAGGGATCAAGATATTCAATTACAGATCATCAAAAAATGATGCATACAGGTTACACTTCTCTTTCCTGGAATTTGAATAATCACCCAAATGGAATCTGGAATCATTTCAGTCAGAAAAGTAAAGAAGAATACCTTCAGAATAAAATCACATTTAATCTGCAGTGTTTCTTCAAAATCCAAATAATTGCAATACAGTTATGTTTGCAGAACATGGTCATCCATGGACCATGGAAGATGGTCTCCATGCATGGGGAAAATGTAGTTGATGAGAAATGTTGTGAGTGAGTTGAGGCAGAACTGATGACTTGAATCAAGGCTAGTGGTTGAAGTACAGATAAGAAGGAAGAAAATGCAAAACTCACTGAATGTGACATCCCAGTTAACTGCAAGGCAAATACCTTCTACCAGAAAATTAGCAAATTGGAAGAACTATACGTACCGGTTGTAGGTGACAACTATGTCTCATGGTAAATATAGTCAGTCAGGGGAAAAAGTGTTATTTGAAGGTATGCTCATGGTATGTTTTCCCCAGTTATGGTTTGGGTGTCACAGTACTGTAGACAGTATTTCCTGAAGAGCAGGAAGCTGCCCAGTGTTTATGTGATATGTTAAGTTCCTGACAACTGGCAAAAGGGTAATATCACCCACATTTTCAAGAAGGGGAAAATGGATGATCCAGGGAACTACAGACCAGTCAGTCTCGCCTCTGTGCCTAGCAAAATCCTGGAGCTGTGTGGTTCAGTTGATATGCTGGAGGGAAGGAATGCCATCCAGGGGGACCTTGACACACTTGTGAGGTGGGCTGATGCCAACCTGATGAAGTTTAACCATGACAAGTGCAAGGTCCTACACCTGGGTTGGAGCAATCCCAGGCACAGGGGCAGGTTGGGCAGAGAAGAGATTCAGAGCAGCCCTGCGGAGAAGGACTTGGAGGTGCTCGTCAATGAGAAAATGAACATGAGCCGACTTCAGTGTGTGCTCGCAGCCCAGAAAGCCAACCGTATCCTGGGCTGCATCAAAAGGAGCGTGACCAGCAGGTCAAAGGAGGTGATCCTGCCCCTCTACTCTGCTCTCGTGAGACCTCACCTGGAGTATTGTGTGCAGTTCTGGTGTCCTCAACATAAGAAGGACATGGAACTGTTGGAAGAAGTCCAGAGGAGGGCCACGAGGATGATCAGGGGACTGGAGCACCTCCTATATGAAGACAGGCTGGGTGAGTTGTGGCTGTTCAGCCTGGAGAAGAGAAGGCTGCGTGGAGACCTCATAGCAGCCTTCCAGTATCTGAAGGGGGCCTATAGGGATGCTGGAGAGGGACTCTTCATTAGAGACTGTAGTGATAGGACAAGGGGTAATGGGTTAAAACTTACGCAGGGGAAGTTTAGATTGGATATAAGAAAGAAATTCTTTACTGTTAGGATGGTGAGGCACCACAATGGGTTGCCCAGGGAGGTTGTGAATGCTCTGTCCCTGGTGGTGTTCAAGGCTAGGTTGGACAGAACCTTGGGCGACATGGTTTAGTGTAAGGTGTTCCTGCCCATGGCAGGGGGGTTTGGAACTACATGACCTTAAGGTCCCTTCCAACTCTAACTATACTATGATTTTGTACTTTTAGAGTATCTAAAAGTATTCATACTTTTAGAGTATCTAATCTTATCCTTGGCTCCCCGTAAAGCTGTATTAACTGATAAAATTTCCCCCTGAACCTTTCTAAAGACTCTGTCATGCCATGTGCAGTTCACTGATCTACTGTGTTTTGCTGTTTTTCTTGGATTGTATGTGTTTCATCAGTGGTGGTCTTCCATCTTACATCAAGAAATGGGTTGTTCTTAGCTAAGAGCCTGCTTAAAGCTTGTAGCAGCACATGTTGCATGGAGAGCACACAACAGAACTGTTAGAAGGTGTTCTGCTTCACACTTGAGTGTTCACTGTTTCTCATCATGTTAGAGAACAAGGAGATCTGCTTCACAAGCAATAGCATCTAGTGGAGTGTGTCAGTAGTCAGCTATTAGCAAATGCACTTTTTAAAAGTAAAGGGAGAAATGCTGGTAAGAGACTGAGCATGAAGTATGTAATTTAGATGTCAGAATGTATCAACAATATCACTGCCAGACTTGATCACTTGATCAATTGTCATTACATGTAAAATTCACCCACAGAATTTCTCCTCCAGGCAATTAGCAGCCTGCAGTAAATTCTGGGAGCATGTCCAACCACCCTTCTGGAATGAGACAATAAAAGGGCCTGGATGTCTGCCTTTGCAAAGCCAGGGACCTCTGGGGTTTTGCTGCTGAGCTAGAGCTGTGCAAGTCTGTTCTTCCCTCACTTTAGCAAAAGGAATGGAAATAAGTTGTTATCACTTCTCTGATTATACCACGGATCTTACTTTATGTAAGTTTATAAGATTTAGAATCATCTTTAATGAAAGTTTATAAGATTTAGAATCATCATGACCCCTTACTTACAAAGATTGCCAAAACAAAATTAAGAGGGTACAAAGCCAGCTCGTGTTTGACAAACAAAACTGTTCAGTCTCTGCAAAGATTCCCCCAGCTAACTTAACATGGGACATTTATTGTCCACTGGTCAGGAGCTGGCAGACCTGCTGTGTCCACTCTTAACAGCTCTTGAACAAGCACTTGCATCCTGCTTTAGCAGCATGACTAGATGACTTCTGAAGTCCTCTCTCAATTCCTGACCAATGGTTTATTTCTGCTGCTTAAATATGGGTTCATTTCCTCAGAAAGAAATAGTATACACACATTGTCAGTTATAAATCCCTGACCAAATTATCTCAGCTGCATATAGCACAGGAGGTACTGTAGATATTGTTGACTGTCAGCTTAGGCTGTGGTTATACAGGATGAATACCTTTCTGTCCTCATTTCTGAGTACTGTAGGTGCTCACAAAGTCAACCTATTGTTAGAGAGAGTCAGAGTTTAAAGCAGAAATAAAACCAAGATGTTAGCACTCCATTACTAAAACTGAAGCTGTATTGTTACAAAGGGAAATCTCTCAAGCATTTTTCTGTCTGTTGTTCTCACAGTGCCCTTCATGGCAGAATGAGACAAATAACTCACATGAAAGGTTTCATCCTGGAGGAAGCTGCACAGCAGCCATCCTTCTAAAGTATCTAAAAAAAGTATTTTTCATGTGTGCACAGATTTACTTATCACTCTTATGCATTTACGTATCTTTTATTCCACTGCTTAAAAATAAGTTCGCTTACTGTTGTACCATTTGCATAGTTATGCCATTGTTACTGTCAGAATGATCTTACAAGTATCTGCTGAAAGCATTCTTAAATGTAGACATGTTTCACTCTAACAAGTCAGTACATCAGTTTTTATTGCTTCCTGCAACAGTCAAAAAGAAAACCCTTTCCTCATCTGAGGCAAATCACCTTTTTTCCTTTATAACAACCAACACAGTTCCCAGACAAGTTTGACTTTTTGTTTGTTTGCTTGTTTTAACGCTGCTAAAATCATCAGAAATCTTCATATGATGAGAACTATATAACGCTTTATTATCTTCATGCAGCAAAAAGTAAGGAAAAAATGGTGAACATGTGTTATAGATGTTTGATGGAGTAAGGATGAACAAGAAGTAGTAAATTTTTGTGAGGCACAAGGAACTTATATTGTGCTCCAGTAATAAATGGATATGATTTTGTGCTGGCTTCTCTTCCTCAGCTGCTGAATTACTCCTATTAACAGAATACAACAAATGACACAAGTTACATAGCTGGCACTTCTTACTGCATTGCTTGAAGAAATGCATGCTCCATCTCCATCTCCGGAGATCTCACCAGATGTGGTTGTTAAACCAATCACACTGCCAGCAACTAAAGCAAGTGGCATGGTCTTCTGCAAGGCGAGGCTATCTACTACATGTTTGGTTTTGGCTGTTTTACAGGACTTGTAGCAAGCATGGTAATTAGCTGTGGAGGAAGCATGGTAATTAGTTGTGGAGTTTATGTCTTGTGACTGGGTAAACATTTAGATTTTCCTGATTTATATGATCACAGAATCACAGGCTGGTTTGTGTTGGAAGGGACCTTAAAGCTTATCCAGTTCCAACCCCCTGCAACCAGCAGGATACCTTCCACTAGACCAGGTTGCTCCAGGCCCCTTGCAACCTGGCCTTGACCACTGCCAGGAATGGGGCAGCTGCAGCATCTGTGGGCAACCTG